GGGCATTTTGTTGATTGATGATTGAGGGCCCATCTCATTGTGGATGACATCCCTGAGCTGGTGGTCCTGGGTACTAGAAGAAGGCAGGCTGAGCAAGCCATGAGGAGGCAGGCAGTAAGCGGTACTCTTCCATGATCTCTGCTTCAGTGCCTGCCTATAGTTCCTGCCCTGGGTTCCTGTCCTGACTGCTGGAGGATAGACTGTAGATATAAGGTAATATCAACTCTTTCTTCCCCAGCTTGCTTTTGGTCATGATGTTTGATTGCAGCAATAGAAACCCTAACTAAGACGGAAATTGGTATGAGAGAGTGGGCTATGGCTGTGACAGTTCTCACCAGGTTTTGAGAAAAATTGTGGAAGGACTTTGGGACATTGGGCTAGAAGAGCTATTGAGTGTTCCAAGCTTAATGTGCTATCATGGGAACATGGGGGATAATGTTGAGAGCAATGCAGGTGATGCAGGACTGGCTTGTGAAGTTTCAGAGGGAAGTCTGACTGACTCCTTTAAAGAATCTTAGGCTGTTCAATATTTTGTATTAAAAATTTGTGGGGCTGGTCATCTGAAGCTAAAGAATCAGCTCTGATTAAGAAAAGACAAGCAGCCAGGCGCGGTGGTACACGCCTGTAATCCCAGCACTTGAAGAAGCAGAGGCAGGGAGATCTCGGTGAGTTCCAGTCCAGCCTGGTCTACAAAGCGAGTCCAGGATAGCCAAGGCTACACAGCGAAACCCTGTCTCAAGCCAAACCAAACCAAACCAAACCAAACCAAACCAAACCAAACCAACAGACCAACTGACCAACTGACCAACCAACAAAAAAAGGAGACAAGCATCACTGAGGCAAATCTTCAGGGAAATGTTTCTCCAGGCCAGCACACAGAATATGAAGGGTCACGCTGTACCTATACTGGTAGCTGATTTTGATTTAGAGAAGAATCTCTCTGGTGGTCCTGGATTTGAAGGCATGAAGGGGTCATAGAGAGCAGCTTGGCACCTGAAGTGGCCATTGGGGGAAGATGTAGCCTTTGTTGCAACCAAACCCCCAAATCTAAAGATGTCATGGAGAGAAATCAAGGCTTGGTACTATATGGCAGAGTAAAAGTTCCTGAAGAGGCCCCAGGAGAGGCTGCTGGTAAAGGTGCAGTGCAGTTACAGAGACTTAAGAATGTTGGAAATAGCACTGAGAACAACAGCAGGTGTGGAGTGCAGATGGCTGGAGCCTTTGAGACAGGCTGGGTGTGCTGTGAGTGGCAGAGCCAGAGAAGTGCAACTGTCCAAGCCCTCATTGGACACTGAGTTATTTACACCTTTGGAGTTTGGTTTTGCATTGCTTTTATTGTGAGTGTGCCCTAGTAATTCCTTCTTGAAAAAAAAAATTAACTTTTTTACAGGAAGCGTAATTATAAGACCTTGGCTATATTAGAGCAACTTTAAAATTTTACAGAGATTTTAGAATATTTCAGAGAGAGTGGATATTTTAAAAGAGACTTTGGGAATTTTAGAAGACTGAATATTTTAGAGAAACTTTGAACTTTGAAAGAGACTCTGGGTATTTTTAAAGAGGCTAATTTTTTCAAGTGTTTGAATTTGTAAGGTTTGGAGTGTGATTTTTATATTAAGACATTACTAATATTTTAATATAATTCTTATCACACTAATCTCTCAATGAGATCTTGGGGGGAAATAAGTTAGAAAATGTTATAGTTGAATAGTGATGCGTTTATGTGTCAAGTTGACAAGGATCAATTGTGCTGGCTAGTTTTTGTGTCAACTTGATATGAGCTAGATTTTATTTGGGGAAAGAATGATAACTGAGAAAAACTCTCCAAACAGATTGGCCCATGGGCAAGCCTATGGGTATTTTCATGATTGATGACTGACGTGGGAGATCATAGCTCACTGTGGGTGGTGCCATCCCTGGGCTGGTGACCCCAGGTGCTATAAGAAAGCAGGCTGTGCAGGCCATGACAGCAAGCCAGTAAGCAGCACTCCTTCCATTGCCTCTGCTTCAGTTCCTGCCCTGAGTTTCTGGCCAGATGTTGCTAGATGGTGGATTAAAATAAAATGAAATAAACCTTTTCTTCTCCAAGTTGCTTTCAGTCATGATGTTTTCTCATAGCAATTGAGACCCAGCTATGAAAACGGGTTCAGAAGCAGACATCACACAGGCAAGGAAGGAGTCAGCAAAGGTGAAGACAGAATGGGAAATGGGAAACAGAAACAGAAAGGTTAGCAAAGAGAGGCAGTGGAGCCAGAGCTGGGGAGTGTGAAAAGACAGAAGACTCTCAGATACAGTCAGAGCAGAAGCAGAGAGTTAGAGACTGTGAGGAAACAACAGCTATGAACTTTCCAAAGTTGACCGTGCACAACAAACCACAGAATTAAGAGCTTTAGAAAATTATGGATGGGAAACGTAAGTCACAACAGTAAAATCTAGGCATTTCATAACAGAACTGCTGGAAAGGTGAGGGGTAAAAGGACACACATCATACAATGGAATAAAGATTGAAAGCAGTAGATTTCCTCACCCAAGACAACACAAATCAGAAGACAATGCAGCATTGTCATTAAAATGCTGGTGTTATGCCCAGTTTGTGAGACTGCCCAAAGACCACCAGGAATTGACTCCACTGCAATCACATGAGGGTTTATTTAATACAAGCTCAAGCCCAAGGCACAAGCTCTCTGTAGAAAAAGAGAGGTATCCGGCCCTGAGGTCTGGGGGAGCAGGGTTTTTAAAGGGCAAAACCGTAAGTGGGAGATTTCTAAGCCTTGATCTATTTTAGGTGCCAAGGCCATAATGGTCCTTGCCTGTCCATCTGGAGGGTATCTGCTCCTGTTAGGGACGGGGAACAATTAGCATATCTTGTGTTTTTTTCTTAGTAGCAGGGCTCTGTGACCTTGGTCTCCAGTTAGGGACTATCTGGGTGGGTTGCTAGGCAATGATATTTCTCTAGCGCAAGCCTGTTTTATTTTTATTTATTTATTTTTTTAGCAGGGTGGGTCTGTCTCAACTTGCCCTCTTCTTTGTCTAAACTTGTACCCAGTACTACAGTCATGTTGTCCCAGGAATTAAATTTCAAATTTTGGACCTCTTACTGGGAATACAATAATTTTTTTAAAAAAATCACCAAAATACAAAACTTATCTTCCTGTATTTTCAGTTGCTGTAACAGATAATCTGTTACTGTGTACTTTATGAAGAAGACAGATTTATTTATATTTATTCCCAATTCAGGAAGCTGGGAAGTCAAGGGGCCTGCATCTGGCCAGGATCTTCTTGTGTCGTTCCATGGTACACACTGTTCTAAGTCAGGAACATGAAAGGGCTACAAAGGAAAATAAGGAATGTGCACAATCAAGGCTGTGCACACAGTGAGCCTGAAGAAGTCCTGAATCCACTCCCAGCCTGTGATACCACATCTGCAGCATCTCTGCCTTTTGTTGGTCAAACAGTGCTCAGCTTCCTCCTCTACTCCTGCTGTCATTGGAGCTGCTCTCTCTGCTCCATCATCCTCTCTTCTGGCTCTTCATCTGTCAGCTTTTGGCAGGATGAGCTCACTCCCTCTCCTTGTCAACGGGCTTCCCACTCTCCCCTCTCTGCTCTCAATTCAGCAGTTCCTTTGGAGAGGGTTGGATGAGCACCTGAGGATAATCTTCCCGTCTTAAGAGAAAATATTCAGGTGTGTGCTGTGGTCCTTCAGCAGGTCATACAAGATTTACAACCCAACGTGCACCCAGAGATGTCACCCCACATTCTTCTTCGTAACTTAATTCCGTTCATGTTTAATGCCGTGCTTACGTACCGCTTCCAAAGCCTCCCAGAGCAGGACTCCATGTTTCACCCAACAGCACACGTTGATAAACAGTGCCCTGTTTATCTGGAATTCCTCATGCCCATCTCACTTGGCGTACTCTGTGGAGCCCAGCACAGTACCCGGGCTTCCATGAGGTGGGTGCCGCTCCATGTTTGTAGGTCACCTTCTCCCTGTAAAGCAGCACGACGGCTCCTGTGAAGGCAAAAGAAGGGCAAATTATTTTCTCTGACGTGTGATGCTAAATCTATGACCAGGAAAGAAAGAAATAGATGTATCGTCTTCCCTTTCATGACCCACCTTTGAGAGGAGAAATCCTGCAGTGGCCTTGGTTCTTTCTTGCACAAGACACTTGAACAACTGCACCTTTGAATTTCATTGATTGGCATGTAATAGTTATGCGTATTTATGTGGCACACGTGATGATTTGATACATGCGTGCAGTATGTAACGTCATGATTGTGAGCATTCCCACCTTCTTCAACACCTATTCTTTCTGTTGAAAGTCTTCAAGCCCCTCTTCTAGTTCTCTATAAAACATATAATAAATTGTAACTGTAGCCACTGCTATGCTGCAGGACTCAGAACGTCTCCTCTTGACTGTTTTGGCTCCCCTTCTTTTCCCTCCCCCTCTCTCTAGGAACCACTGTTTACTCTTTATTCCCATCAGATGAAACTGTTCAGCTTCTACATGTGAATGATTACGTGAGGTGTTTGTCTTGCAGGATCTGATTTATTTCACTTAATGTATTGGCTTCCTGTTCCATCTATGTTGCAGCAAATGGCAAGATTACATTCTTCTTTGTGGCTACATAATATTTTATCCTTTAAAAAATCCATCTGTCTTGTGGGGAGAATTGTGTGTGCCTCTGTGAATGTCCAACAGAATACCACTGTTTATTTTCAGTGAATGAACTTTATGGCAGCTGAATTATATCTCAATAAAGCTATTACAAAATAAAAAATATCCATTTGTCCAGAGATAAGTACCAGAGTTAAATCCACATCTTGGCCATCAAATTTCCCTCTGATACTTCAAAAATGCAAAACCCCATATGCATTTTTAGTTATAAGAATATTGTTTCGTTTCCAATGTTTCTGGCTTTCGTACACGAGGGTTTCCATGTACACCAGGAAGCTCCCAGACAACTCTCTCTCACCACCCCACCTCTGTTCTCTGTAACAGAAAGCAACCTCGAAGAAATACTCACAGTTCAGCACCGATGTAGCTGAGGCCATTGCCTTCTTTGACTCCATCATTGCAGAGCTAGAGACAGAAAAACGGCCGAGGGCTGCTGACACTGACCTGCCTAATGAAGATGTGGACTTCGATGGTGAGTGCTGGGAAAGACACGCTAAGGTGGTGAGGGGAAGTGCTGCTGGGAGTGGGCTCCTGGGATGGCACCAGGGGCCACACCTTCCTACCTGAAAGGAACTTTCTTTACTGGCGTGTCAGGCTTGATCCCTCTGCCTTGTCTCATTCACTCTTGATGTCAATGCCCCAGCCTGCACCTGTGGTTCTTTTACTAATGGCTATCATGGTGGGACTTCCCTAAGACTCTAAGGATACGGAGGAAGGGGAGGGTAAGATTTCACTGAAGGGACTCTCTCCAGTCTGGGCATTGCCCCTCCCCCATTCCCTCTGCCTTGCTAAAAACCATTAGATTACATTCCTAAAGCTGACCCCCAAGGTCTATTTCCTTATTTGGCCATTTCCTCTACCTGAAGCTGACTACCAGGATCAGCTAACCAAAGTATTGAAGTCCAGCAATCCAAAGCCCCCTTTGACTCACTTAATTAACATGCTCAATTAAATTTAAGCTCCTCATCCTAACACGGAGTTTCCCCTTACCTTTATAAACTGCCATTTGTCTAGGTGCCATGTCTGCATGTGACATGTTCTATCTATGTGACATGTTCTGTCATGTCTGTCAGAGACAGTCCTTTGTCCCACTCCTGGATAAGTGTCCATGCCCCATCTCCCTTGTTCACTTCCTCTTCTCCCTCATCCTCTATTTCTTCTCTTTGTCTCATATTCCCTGCCCTCTGTCTCTCTGGGGAAAATCAGTCTCCTTTGTGCTGAGAACTTGATCTTGGGGGTCCTGAGCCAATACCATTTTTTACATTCACTTTTAACCAAACTGTGACTGCGGTGTCACTGCAAATAGCAGAAGTCCCAACTCTTACGGCTGGAGTCAACTTTTACATTCCAGAATTGCTAGATATTAATCTTTGACCCCCCCCCAAAAAAAAAAAAACCAAACAACTGCTGGACTTACAAATGGTTTTATTCAGAGTCGCTAGCTCTTGGACAAGATAATGGCGATTGATATCGATATTAGGTAATTCTTGAGTATTACATACACTCACAGGTCAGGCTTATGGTTTACCGTTTCTCTGTTGTGGCAGGCACTGCACTTCCACAGCAGCTTCTGTGGCTGCAAAGGTGACACCTACTGTGGGTCACTCTACCCTGCATGCAGCTTTGTACACTCTCTGTTCCCATGCTGCTCCTGTCCCAATGATAGTGGCCCTGCAGCCCCCTGAAACGGAAAGACACAAGGACATCTTCATGACTGTAGTGAAAATGATGGCTGTCCTGAGCAGGCTGTGTGTGGCGGGGTGGGACTGTAAATCAGCTGGAAGATGCTTGTCTAGTGTCCACTAAGTCCTGAGTTCTAGTCCCTACACTGTATGAACCGGGCATGATGCTGATGCATAGGAGTTCCAGCACTCCGGAGGAAGAAGGGGGATGCTCTGAAGTCTAAGGGTATTCTTGGCTGCAAAGAGAGTTCAAGGTCAGCCTGGGCTACATGAGGCTTTTTTAAAAAAACAAAACAAAAAAAACCCCACGATCACAAGAAAGGTGTTGTTCCAGGCATGGGGGTGCACATCTTTAATCCCAGCCCTTGTTCGGCAGAAGGATCTGTGTGGGCTTACATAGTGAGTTCCAGACCAACCAAGACTCCATCATGGGACCCTGTCTCAAAAGGGAAAAAGAAAAAAATGAAGGCTAGTGTCGTGTGACAGACTTTTCCTGAGGAGACACAACATAAATATGTCTACTGACCCTCTAGTCTAGGTGCTAGACAGGTAACCCATGGCAGACCAAAGTAACTATTGTACTAATGTCCAAACTGGTGAACTAATGAGTTTTTAGTGAGGCTATGAACTGAAGTACCGGTCAGGGGAGACTTACAAAGAGCAGGGCTATGCAAAAGCCTTGCCAGAAAACCCACCCCAGCACAGTGCGGACCGCTGACCCCTGACCCCTGCTGGCCGCTCTGCAGTTTGCCTGCTCAGTCTCCATCCAGCAAACGGTTTACTCCTTTCTAGAGAGTTGGGTGGGGGCCTCCAGCATCTTGCAAGCTTTTGTTCTGGCACATGTGACCTTTGGCAGACCCCGTTGTTCACCACTGTCACTGGCGAACAACAGCCAAGCGAGAGGGCTCAGTGGCAAAGATGCTTGAGCCTGAAAAACAATTAAGTCTCCAGAGAGAACTAACTCCTGAAGTTGGCCCCTGGCACATCCCCTTTCCCACCAACAGCACCAATAATCTATGCCTGTTGTAAGTCAACCGAACCAAACAGCACACAGAGCGTTTAGAAAATGAAGGCTCTGGGAGCCACAGCTCCACAGTTACAAGGCCACATTGCTCTCACTGAGGACCAGAGTTCAGTTCCCAGCACCACCGGGCTCCTGTAACTCTAGCATTGGGGGATTCAACACTGTCTTCTGGCCTCTGAGGGCACCCACACTCACACACGCATAATTAAAACAAAGAACCAATTTAGAAAAGAAACTAAAAACTAAAAAACAAATAAGTCACTATCACTCATTAACGCTTGGCCATATGACTTTTCCCAAAGGGTTTTCAACACCCTCAAACCTTATTTTCTGTTTTACTTCTAAGAAAAAAAAAAATAGATCCTCTCTGAACAACTCGCAATACATTGTCGTATCTTTCCTAGTCAATGAGTACAAATCTGGGCCATCCCAGCTTCACACTTGCTAAGTCAGACTCCACCCCCACACACACAACCCCAGCCCCACCTCCACACAACCCCAACCCGTCCTCCCCCCTTCCCAGTGGCCACTGCAAATCCTGCAGCAAACCCATCATCTCTCCTTCCCTGTGGATTCCCCGCTGCTGCCCGTCCATGCTCCCCTTTACCCTCTGCTCCCCTGACAGTGGCCACCTGCCCAGGTCACTCGCTTCTCTCTTCCAGTGGCTACCAGCTCACGGGAGCACAGCTTGCATTCCAACTGGATTCTGCGGGCACCACGCAGACATTCTGAGGCCATTGCTCATGCCACTGCAGACAGCCGTTTTCGGAAAAGCGCGGAGCACAGGGTCGCTGGCACCCAGAGGAGGCTGGAGAGACACCCCATTTACCTGCCCAAGGCTGTGGAAGGGGCCTTCAACACCCTGAAATTTAAGCCCAAAGCCCACAAAAAAGAGTAAGTGCTTGGACATAGCAGAACCAAGACAATCTCATGTGCTCCCGACTCTTCTTACCATGTGTTGGGCCCTTATCCCAAGGACTAAATTTGTTGATTTTATGGGGGTGGAGGAGAGGGAGCTTGAGATGTTTTTTTCACAGGCTGTACTCCAGTGGCCTGGCCCCTCGCCTTTCTTTGTTCAGACCTTCCTTGCTTCCATCCTGTCTTCCTGCTTCCTCTCTGGCTTGCTGCTTATACATGCTGTATGTCTCTAATGTCAGCTGAGTTGTCCAGAGTAGAGCAGTAAGCAGGAGGCAGTGTTACCTTGTTGAGATTGTTGCCTTGGAAGGCATTGGCCAACCTCTGCTCTGTAGGGCAGGCTTTCCTATCGGCCTATCCCCTGTGGAGACATACTGACACTGGCTCCTGTGGCCTCTCTCCTCACAGATCCTTGTCTTCCAAGCCTGAGTCCCACATGTCCCGTGCTTTGTGCAGGGCAACCACGTAGGCCATGCCACAGGACACAAGGGCCTATTCAAACTTTGTGGCTGTCCCTTTACCTCTTCATAAGCCACTCAACTCTGGTGGATCCAGGGTTTCCTCAATAGCATTTTACTTCTACAGTAATAAGAAATGTGCTTGACATAAAGCCATGGCCCAGCACTCACCCTGGACCTTCCCCTTCAAGGCCAGGTCAATGCCCACCTGAAGTCTAGCCACACTCCATTCTGTATCACTACAAGGTTCTCCCTGAGGCCCAGAACTTGGGAGGTCAACATGACACTGTCTGCAGGATCGGTGGTAATTTGGGTGTCCCTCCCCTCTGTGCAGTGGCTGGCTTGCACCTGACCTTCTCCTTCTCCCTTCCCGTGCAGCCTGGGGAACTCCAGACAGATCCTCTGCAGCGTCTCCAAAGAAGACATGGAGTGGGACAAGGAGTTCTTCACACAGGAGTCCCCGGTGTCTCTGGAGGAGGATTATCGTGGGACAGAGAATCCCAAAGGGCAATGGCTGATTCGAGAAAGACTCTGGGAGCGGACGGTGCCCTGACTCGACTTACCTGTGCCCGGGTCTATGACAGGAGGTCTGCTTTCAAGGGCAGTACGAAAGTGTTCTGTAGAGTTCAAGATGAAATTATAAAGCTGTAACACAACCAAACTCGTAGTGCCAAAATGACCGTGAGCTTCCCAGGGGACATGACCTGGGGGAGTCAGAGCCTGGGCTTCCCACAGGAGTGAACGGGGGAAAGGAAAGCAGAACCTAGATGCTGGTGTCCCAGAACAGAGGCATAGAGGACTTGGGTGAATGTCCCTGACACCTTTCTTGGCCCTGCCACACGTAGGAGACGGTGCAAATGGCTGCATGTCATTTGCCCAGAACTGGAAAGAAAGCAGTCTGGAATTCTGGCCTAACGTTTTCAAGGCTGTGACTCAGAAGCCCATTGGTGAAGTCCTGAGGCCCCTCCTTCCTTGCAGAACTTCATCACACTGGGCGTGGAACCAGAAGACAGGCAGCCTCTCTGCTCTAGGTCTTTTGGGCAGGCTAAAAATGAGGCCAGTATCCTAGGGTTAGTAGGGGAGAGAAAGGTTGTATCAGGCCCTGCCTTGTGTTCACACTGTTTCTCCCAGTCCAATTGTCCAGCTCCTCCACACAGACAACTGGCTCAAGGAGGTGGAGGTAGGTACGTCTTTCTCCTTTCTAATTCTCCTACAAATAAAGCTGTATTCATGCAACCAGCTCAGGACAGGCTCCACATCTTCCAGTCATGGGTAGCTAGAAGCACAATGATCTTCTGTCTAGGGAGAATTTTTGTAGTGTAGCCATTGATTCACAGTTCCATGCTCAGTGTGTGGGCTTTGTATATAATTCAGCACACAATCTTTATTTGGCCATAGAGTTTACATCCGAGCAAGCTTAAGAGCCACTGGTTACAGAAGACACTCCACTCTGACCTTCCTGTTTTTCTCTCATCCAAGTACTAACCATGTGTCTTAGTCGCTTTCCTATTGCTGTGATAAGACACCATGACCAAGGCAGCTTATAGAAGAAGGAGTATACTTGGAGCTTACAGTTCCAGAGGCTGGCCGGTGACTATCATGGTGGGGAACAATGGCAGCAAGCACGCAGGCATGGCACTGGAGCAGTAGCTGAGAGTGCACACCTTGAGACAAAAAGCACAGGGAGGAAAGAGAGAGAGAGAGAGAGAGCGAGAGCAAGAGAGAGAGAACAAGTATACAAGCTAACTGGGAATAGTTTCTGCTTTTGAAACCTCAAAGTCACTCCCCAGTGACACACCTCCTCTAACAAGGCCACACCTCCTAATCCCTCTCAAACAGTTCCACCAACTGTGACCCAGGTATTAAAATATATGAGCCTATAGGAGCCATTCCCATCACACCGCCACACAGGGCCTCTATCAGCTCAGCTACTGAGAGACCTAAAATCAGGTGTGTGGCAAAAGATCTTTCTCACTGATTTCTGCTGTCTTCTTGTACAACAGTGACTTTTCAGAGAGTATGCCCATGGATGTCACAGGGAAGGGAACAGGGAAGCAAAAATAGAAAGAGAAGCATAATCTAAATAAAGTCGGGAACATTCTAGGGTTAGTGAGCATGACAACTTGCATAAAGGCATGTGTTATGTTCTTCAGATTAAATAGTAATAATAAAAACCTTAATTTATGTGATCTTGGGTGTCTGAAGCTGAGAAATTTTAACTCTGAAGAGGGAGAAGTGACAGCAAACTGCGTGGCAGCCCTGAGAACTTCAAGCCGACACATTCCCCAGGTGAACACACGTCTGGCCTTTGCGTCCTCTTCTTCACTGTTTTCCAAGTGCCAATATCAATGTTTGGGAGGTTTCTTTCATCTGTTGCTTGACCAGAAAAAAAGCAATTTCTGGAGAGTTGTCTTACAGATAGCTGTAAAACCATGGTTCATCTGCACAGATTCCTTCCTTGAATGTGGCTTTCTTTAAAGTTTTCTGTCTGAAGGCTCTTCTCTGTGAGCAAACAGAGTGGGAGAGAGAAGTCCACTCGGCCTTACCAGGCAACAGTTTGTCATAGGCCAATCTGAAGCACTGTGGGGAAGGCACTGTGTAAACCTGTGTTTCAGACAGGAAAGAGCAGCGGGATGGAGAAGATACTCAGAGCCCAATGCATTTTTTGCTTTTGTCTCTGGGTTTTCTTCTCTGTGGGATGTGAAGTTGTGGTGGTCCACTCTGCTTTGGGGTTTAAAATGCTTTTGTCTTTAGTAAGACATAGTCTGCTTGAAAAGTTCTAGGGGTTGAACTCACATCTAGGAGACAACCTTTCTGTCTTTGAAGTTGGTGGTAAATCCCGGGATCTGGGTTACGACTCACAAATTTTGGATAGTAAATACATGGGTTTTGAGAGAAGTCTAATTGGAAACAATAAAAGATGATTTGGAAAACCAAGGTGCTCTGACTGATTTTTGTCCTTCTTGAGGTGAACAATTATTCCAGGGGGTCAGCTGGTCAAGACTATCTTAGTTTGGGTATGTAAAAACCTACAAAGATGGAATGTGGAGGGCAGGGAGTATAATGATGTCTTAGTCAATAAAGTTCTTGTCTTGCAAGCGTGAAGACCTAAGTTCAACTCCTACAATCCATGTTAAAAAATTTAAAAGTAAAACAAAAATTCTAAAAGGCCCAGTTTAGTGAGACACACTTGTGATCCCAGCACTGAGAAGGCAGAGATGGGTGGATCTTTGGGACTACCACAGTCTGTTAGCATAAACTCCAAACCTGTGAGGAACTTTGGCTCAGACAGGAAGCAAGGTAGATGGTACCGGAAGAAAGACACTGTTCTCTAGCCCTCACACACATGTATGTGCATATACATATAAAAGGAAAAAAGGGACAAAAAGAAAGAAATGAAGGAAAGAAAGAGATGAATTTAAAAGAGAACGATACTCCCTGGACTTTAGCTGCTGGATTTCTGCCCCTTCACCCCCACACTCTACCCTCTCACCACCATGTAAACTTCCCATCACTGGGTTACTAGGCAACAGCTGAGAACACAACAGAGTGGCTCTAACAGAAGGCTGTATTCTCTGAATCACTGGTTGACTTTGATTTGTCCCTTGCCGCTATTAATAATGTATCATAAATAGTTATCACAAATAAATTATAACTATAAAATAAAAGATCACAAATATAAAAGCATAGAATACCCACAAGCTTGTTTCCCTAAAATTTGGAAGTGAGAGAGCCCAAGTCAGTCATATTGGTAAAGTGTTGGTAGAGCTTGTTCCTCTGAATGCTCTCCCTAGCCTCTGGGGATGCCTGCATTCCTTGGCTAGTGGCCCTTTCCTTGCATGACCCCAGTTTCTTGCTTCCTCAGAGCTCCAACTGCTCACCCTAATCTCTGCCTTGTAGGTGTTACTTTCTAACTCTTTTATTTGGGGTTCCTAAAGCCTCTACCTCCCTTCCACCACCAACCCCCCATTCTAGGTAGGAGAGAAAGAAGGTAAGAAGGGAAAGAGGATGTAGATATCTTCAGACTTAGTTCTGGCTGAGTAGGGTCGTCTGGTTTTTTGGGAAAATACCAATCTCAGCTATCAGGATATCTAGCAGTTCAGCAAACACAAATGCAGCAAGATGAACAAGCAGTCCTTTTTCCTCCTCCACCCATCTCCTCTAAGCCCCTTCCTCTCTCTGGGCTCTGGTATTTATATCCTCCCAGAGTCCTCAGAATTCCACTAATTCCAGCTGGCAAAGACCGTGCCCTTCTCCAAGTCACATGAATCTTTTGCCAGATGGCAAAGACTATGCCCCACACGAGGCAATTATCAGCTGTGGATAAACCAAGGCAGTCCCATATCCCACACTTGGGATTAAAACAAAAAGATTTACATAAAATAACCGAGTATAAAAGAAACTTCTTAAGTTTTTTCTAATTTTTAAAAATTTATTTACCTTTATTTTATGTGCATCGGTGTTTTGCCTGCATGCATGTCTACATGAGACTGTCAGATCTTGGAGTTACAGACAGTTGTGAGCTGCCACATGAGTTCTAGGATTTGAACAAGGTCCTCTGGAAGAGCAAGTCAGTGCTCTTAACTGCTAAGCCATCTTTCCAGCCCCATAACTGAGTTTTTAAAGAAACCAAAACTTCTTCTACACTGCCTCTCTTTTATAAGGCCATTTGCAATGATATCAGTCCCTACCATTTGAATAATTCAGGACACTTGGACCATCCCAAGATCTTTAATTTAATAAAGTGATCAGAATCTCTTTTGCCAGGCAAGGTGGTCATAGGTTCTGGGGCCAGGTGAACATCTTTGGGAGGCCACTCATTTTTCAACCATACATACCCAGTACCACAAGACATTCTAATTCTTATGAACTCAACCTGATCCCCACTGAAACTTGGTTCTCACAGCTTAGTGACTGAGGTGAATTCAGGCATAGCTGCTGTTTCCAGATCCCTGTGCCCGCTACCCTATGTTCTGAGGAGATTCTGTCTTGCCAGACGGCTTCCAGTTTCAGAAGGACTGAGCTAATATAGAATCCCCAAGTGGAGGAACAGGGTGGTTCCATTCTGTAAAGCGAGACAACGGTGATATTTTCCATGGAGTCTATTTTAAGCAGCCAGTGTGCAGCAGAACACACGCTTCCCTTCAGCAGCCGGTGATCCAAAGGAGAGATTAGGATGAACCAGGATTAAACAGTGCCAGGATCCCTGCAGCTTCACCCAGCGTCTCCACTTGCCCAGGAAGTGTGTAAATGCAGAAAAGCATATGTACCCTAGGGTTAAGGGAGGGAAGGGCTTTATGGATGTCTGAAGTCTTGAAAGATGGATTTAGACTTCAGCAGGAGGGGTGGTATTGTGTTGGGAGAGAGAATGGCATTCGAAAGACAGTCATCAGAACTGTGGGAAGGACAGGGCACAACTGACATGTTCCTGATGGAAGGGCAGGTCTCCTGGCAAGCAGCCACCAAGGCCAGACTGGAAAGCAGGGGAAGCTGATAGAGTTGATCACGTGGATGTAAAACATTGAGCCATTAACCGGCACTGAGTCAAGAGCA